GCACCTTTTGAAGCATTGTATGGTAGGAGGTGTATAACACCTCTATGTTGGTATGAGTTGGGCGAGAGTATGGTACTCGAACCCGAGATTGTGCAACAGACCACAGAGATAATCCAGATGATTAGAGAGAAAATGAAGACGACCCAGAGTAGGCAGAAAAGCTACCATGATAATAGGAGGAAAGACTTGGAATTCAACGAAGGTGACCATGTATTTCTTAGAGTCAATCTGGTGACCGGTGTTGGTCGTGCGCTGAAATCAAAGAAATTGGATCCTAAGTTTATTGGACCGTATCAGATTTTGCAGAGGGTTGGAGCGGTTGCCTGTAGAGTGGAATTACCACCCGAACTTTCGAATCTACATGATGTGTTTCATGTATCACAACTTCGGAAGTATGTTGCTGATCCATCTCATGTACTTCAGAGAGATGAAGTGCAAGTTCGAGATAACCTTATGGTAGAGGCGATGCCGTTGAGGATTGAAGATCGCAAAATGAAACAACTAAGAGGGAAAGATATTCCATTGGTGAGACTAGCTTGGGGAGGAGCTACTGGGGGAAGTGTAACCTGGAAGTTGGAGAGCAAGATGCGAGAGTCGTATCCGGAGTTGTTCTCAGCAGGTACATGTTCGAGGATGAAAATATTTTAAGTGGGGGAGAGTTGTAACACCCCATTTAAATTATTTAGTCGCTTCTGTATTTTTTTCCTGTGATGTGTATTTGTGTGCTGTCCTTAATTAAAGGGTATGAGGTTAGGAGTGAGAGTGAGGGGTGACCTTAGTTGGGGTACCTATAGTACTAATGCTAACCAATTAATAATAGTAATGAAATACTATAGTTATTGATATTATTATTTAAATATTATTAATAATGATATTAACAAGATAATAGTCATTATTATCATTATTACTATTACTATTATTAATTAAAACAAATGAATTAAAACCTAATTAAGAGGGTTTATAGAGTATTAGTGGGTTTAGACAGTTAACACGTGAAGGAGGGAAAAGACTGAGGAAGGAGAGCTAGGGAAGAAGAACCAGTTTTCTCCATTGTTGTCAAGAAAGAGCTCATATCCAAGGTAAAGGGGGAGAGTGGATTTCAATATGGGTGAATTAACAGGAGAGGGTAGTGAGAGGTCCTTTCTCTCATAGGATTTATGTTTGTTTTGGTTTTCTTGATCTAAAATTCGTAACATGATAGATCCCTCAAATTTGTTGTTATTGTTGAATGATTATTATGTGATGTTGTGTGTATGAATCTGGGGCTGATACGAAAATTCGTGTAAAAATTCATTGATGTTGTAGATAGCTCTAACAGTTAATAGATCTTAGAACTAATGGGTTAACCGTAATCGAAACTAGATATAGCAATTAGAATCTTGACAAATTAGAAGATAGGATTAATGGAATCGATCTAAAATCAGAGAATTAGGATGAAGGAGAAGGTGGAATGATGAATTTGGAGAGGGAACTCGTGAGAATGTTGAGATCTGAGTTTTTTGACAGATCTGCTGGTCATATGCGTATTGGGGGTGTCAATACGTGTATGGGGGACTTCCCAAGGGCTGTACGCGTAACAGGCGTGCCTTGTCCCCAGTGCCAGCACGACCATCTGGTGATACGCGTATGGGCTTGGGCAATACGCGTATACGCTTGGGCAATACGCGTATAGGAGTAGTCATACGCATATGGGGTGACTCTGAGGGGTTTTTGGGAGGTAGAAGCCTCTGGACATACGCGTAAGGTAGGGTTGATACGCGTATGACAACAAACATTATGCGTATGGGCCATGCTGATACGCGTATGGACAGTCTGGGATGACTTTTCTCAATTTTTGTGATTTCTGTCCAGTGTTCGCTTGGAACGCAATTCCGTTTAATCGGTAGGATTAATAGGACTAAAATGAACTGAAGAAATATTAGTAATGAATTAAACCGAAAAAATGTGGAATGATATGGGTGTGTTATGATGAATGTGAGCCATGATTATCGAATGTGGATAATCTTGTGCGACTGTGGTAATTCCCGAGAGGATTACGGTGAGCGGATGGCTCGTGTGGATCTTTAATGATTGTGGATTATGCTTGAATTATTATATTGCATAATTGTGTTGTCATGCATTTCATATCATGTGTCTTGTGGAGATGGCTAGGTGAGAATCCATGATGGATGCCTAGTTTCATCCGGACTTCATGTGGAAATCGTTGTGGAGATAAGTTGTAGTTCAGAGGAACATATACGAATTATCTGGATTCCGACGAGAATCAGGTTCTAGGGTGAACCGTATGTGATTGTGTTGGTACCACATGCATTGTGTCGAGTCAGTGAGTCACATTGCATATTTGTATTTGATTATGGGCTATTAATGCCAAGTAATTAAGGTGGCACGTGTATGTGCGTTGTATATGTATGATATTATGTATGGTGTGTAACTACTCCTTAGCATGTATATTTCACCGCTTATTTATTTAATGTAGTTCTCACCCCCTTTCTGTTTGTTGTGTCTGTGCCCCTTGGGGAGTGCAAATGACCAGGTACAAGAGAAGTGCTTGGAGTGTGTTGCTATTTTATTGAGTCCTAGGAGTCCCTCTGATACGTAACATGGGATGACGGGATTACATTTAATTGACTTATTTTCTTGATTTATTATTACGTGTCTTTTAATTGTTGGATTAATAATGTATAACCACCGATTGTGGAGATTATATTGGAACATTGATTTTATTCCGCTGTTTAATTAAAGCTAGATAACATTGTTTTATTTATGAAAAATAAAGTGACTTAGTGTGACATCCTACTGATTTTGGAACTCTGATGTATTTTCTATAATATTCCTATAAATACGCGTGCGGGGTAAAGTAGGGTGTTACAGGTAGCGCCTATTGTCACCATTTGACTACTGATTGTAGCGACACACTCCTGTAATTCCGTTTTAGTACTGAAAGAAACTAGTGGCAGTGGTTTGAAGTTTTCTGAGGCTTGATCACCCCAGGTAGTTTCTGACAGAGTCTGAGAATCTAAAGTTTTCCTCACTACAAGTAATAAGGTTATATTTGGTGGCGAAGATAAGTCACTTCGACTGGGAAATGAGTCAGACATAATGCAAATGGGTTGCAAGCGATATTTCGTAGACTTATGTGGCCTAGGCAAGTTTTACCGATGCCCCACGGTAGACGCCAAATGTTCTTGCTAGAACACTAAGAGGTTGACTTCCTCGTTATGCCTCGAGGAGAATCTTAGATGAATGGTTATGGTGTCTGTTTCGTGTATGATTACTGTGTATTGGTTGTCTTCCTTGTTTTTAAAGAACTCCTTATTTATAGGTATTTCTTTGCTAATTCATCTTCCCGTAACATCCGCCGCTTCCCATAATTATCTCATAATGACTGACTCTTCAATGATTGTAACTCTCCAGTCATAATGCTTTTGTTTCATAACCATCCCTTGTGTCCTTTCGCATGACATCCAAGCACTGTCATCGCCCTGACATGCATGATCAAGATAGTTCTCGATTCGTATGAGATCAGATTAGTCTTGCGTTGTCGGGTTACTCTTAACCGGTATTCGACCTATAAGTAGGCGTATCTCCTCCCAATTAGTCATTCTCATCATACCTTAATGTTGAGTTTGGTGTTTTAAAATTTTAATATTTTATTTATGAAGTTGTTATGAAATGATTTTTTGCTACGTTTTGTCGCATGTTTTGATGAATTTTTGAAGAGTTATCGTTGGTGACAACTTAAATTATGGAGTAATTTTTTATATAAATTTTAGAATTCAGAGTGTTACAAAAAGTGTATAATCCAAAATACTAGAGTCATATTACTATTGGTAAAAGTATACAATATTAAACATGTGTTTCGTTCTGTGATAAATTTTTTTTTTTGAATAAATTAACTTTATAAAATATATTTGAATATAAAAATTATGTTTAAATTTAAATATTATAATTTTAAATTTTAAACTGATAATAAATTTTATTTTAAAATAATGTAACATCTCAAAATCATTTCAAAACCAATCCAACATTTCCAAAATTTTAAATCTATTTTTACGTTAAACCAAACATAGCTTTTTGTTTTAATTCAAAAAGAAAGAAAATAATAATATGTATTACTATTATGTACGGTGTTGGTGTACTCATATAACTTTTCTGTTACTTTATTTGAAACAATTGATCAAACTTATAGTAATTTATCTAGCTTACTACCAACCGTTAACAGCAAATTGGTTTCTAATTGGGTGTTTGGAATTAAATTCTAGATGGAAACAAACAAAAGTTATTTATCTTATTTACATAATTACGTATCAAAAGAAAAAATAATAATACCATTGCTCAAGCTGGCAACAACCAACGTCGTCTTCATGTGTCTACAAAAGGGTTATTTCTTTTAAAGTACAAACAAAAGCCATATTTAGACCCTACCCTTTAGAAGAAATTAAACTGTAGATTTCATTTTTCCTAAAAAAAGGTACAAATTTCATGCTATTCGGTAATTTAATTAAAATAAAAAGAATATTCTAAGTAAGAACCTAGCTCAAACTTTTAATGGCCAATAGCTACGGTGGTATTACATAACAACCAGAAACTAAAGTTACGCAATAAAGGCGCTGACAGGCTCTAGACCCAGAAAATAACATCTTAACAAAGTTGCAGCTCAAAACAGAAAAGTAAAATATAAAATAAAATAATGCCAATAAAAAAAAAAGAGACAACCCATCATAAAATAAAGCAATAAACTTTTTTTTTTAATGAAAATATACTAATGAACGAGAATCCAGAAACTAATTAACTACACTCAAAAACAAATTCAGAATCCTTTCGAATATGCACCTATGAACAAGAATCAATGTTCTTAAAACCAATATTCCAAATAATAAAAAAAATCAACAAAAAAATTCCACCGAAAAGAAAACACACTAATGACTTTTTTATTTAATAACAATGAATGACTCTATATGCAGCAGTATATTTCACCCGGAAACAGCATGCTCCCTCCGTCAATTCCAGCTGTCAACACCGGCAACCGCCGCCTGAGATGGAAAAGCTGGCCGATACGAACCATTCGAATAGCCACGCTCGGAAACCATGCCAGGCACCTCTAATCCATTGTAACCAAACTCGTTCCCAATCTGTGTATATGCAAAATAAACCGGTTGACCGGTTGGTCCAATGACTGGCCTCACAGCTTGGTACAATCCTGAACGTGTTTGAATCAGATAAACCGGTATTGGTTCACTGGGATATCCCGTCGAGTAAGCACAAACCACATTCGGGATCATAGGAGAAAATGCTGACTGAACCGAAGCCGGTCCAGGAGCTTGAAATTGAACCGAACCGGAATGAAACGGAGGCGGAGCTTGAACAGGTACAGCTGTAACTAACGGCATCTCGGTTTCCGTGTTTTCCTGAGTGTAACAGTCAGCATAACCGTTAACTCCGCCGTATTCTCCGTCATAATTCATTTGCTGTTCATCATTGACAGCTTCAACAGGTGGAGTAGTAACTGACGGCATCTCATTTTCAGTGTTTTCCTGAGAGTAACTGTCAACACCGCCGTTAACTCTGCCGTTTTCTCCGTCAGAATTCATTTGCTGTTCATCATTCACAGCTTGAACAGGTGGAGTAGTAACCAAAGGCATGACGGTTTCCGTGTTCTCCTGAGAGGAAACAACACAGCCGTTAACTCTGCCGTTTTCTCCATTAAAATTCATTTGCTGTTGATCACTCACAGTCTGCATTCTCTTAATTACCTGAATCTCGGTTTCTTTAACCCTCTCGGACTCACATTCCGTATCCTTCACGGCGAAATCCGGAACATTCTCCGGGATTTCTGACTGTTTCGTCTCGGGAGATGGAGAATACGGTTTATCCAATCCAAACAGATAATCAGGATTCATCTCTGGCGGCGGAGGAGGTGGAAAAGAATTTTCCATCGCCGGAACGGAAACGGAATTGAGAGCGTCGACGAACCACTTACCTACCGATTTGGAATCCTCCGCAGCGGCGACATTCATTGCAGAATTGGTAGAATCGAAAGATGCATTGCTGCTGTGGTTCTTGAATGGGGAAGGAAAGAGGAAGATCCTCAACCTTGCAGGCTTAGGTGAAGCGCGACACATACGATCGTACTCGATCATCATATAATCGAGATCGTCTTCATTGCATACCGAGATCAAAGCATCGAGATCTTCACCAGGGAGTTGATATTTGAAACAGACATCAGAATCAGCCATAGCAGTGAGCTTACCAATGAGGTTCGATAATTTGACGTTACGATCGACGGCGAGGATTTTGGTATCACCTCCGATGTACGAAAGGTGACCGTCATGAAGCCTCGGTTGAATTTTTCCACCGAAGCTACAGATGAGCTTGACTCTCTTGGTGTTGGAAGGAGGTGGTTCATCGAACGACGAACGGTGATCATTTTCGAGGAATTCGCGAGAGGTAGGTGAGGAATCACGCGAATTGGGATGCGAAGAGTAATGATTCTCCATTGATGAAGGTGATGGTGAGAATTAGGGTTTAATTGGGGAAATTTTAGGATCTAGGGTTTGGAATATGAAATTTGGAATGGAAGAATTTGGAAGAGTTTTGAGAGAGTGAAAATTGAGAGTGGAGTGAAATGGAGAGGAAGGAAAAAAAACGGCGTGAATGGAAGATTGTGATGTGAGAGGAAAATAGTAGAGTGTGGCTTTATATGAGTGATGAAACTATGGGCCCACTTATCTTTAACTAGTTTCTGGTTTTGAATTTAAATTTTTTGTTAACGGAGCGTGTTATTAGATAAGATTCTATTAAAAACAATTTAAGAAAAAAATCATTTCTTTAGAATCAATACATTTTTTATCAGGATTTGATTTGATTTCAAAATCAAATAAGAATTGCATAAAATTTATTTAATTTAAAAAATAATAATTTTATTTGATTTTAATTTATAAATAGAATGAGATTCAATAACTTGATTTTGACTGAGTAGAATAAAATAACATTATAAAATAACAATTAAGTAAGATATTAAAAAAGTCTTCATAAAAAAGTTTGAAAAAAAAAATTAACAAAGTTGGTGTCTATTCTATATAATTATATAATATTCATGTGAAAATGTATATGGACGCGAACAAATCATGAATGAATATTTTTCATTTTAATTAAATTTTTATATAATTTTTATTATTTCTTTTAAATATAAATATTAATAATATTTAATTTTCTAGACTTATGTTTTAATAATATTATTGAATATAGAATTATAATAAATAACTTTCTAGAAAGAATTTAGAATAATTAATTTGTATATTGAAGAACTCTTTAAAAGTTTGACACCATTTTAGAGGGCAACTTGAAATAAATTGGTCAAGTTAAAAAATTTATTGCTAGAATAAAAGTTGTTAGGTAACAAAATTTTTAGAAAAGATATTCTGAAAAAATATAATATATATAGTATTAGATATAAATTTGTGTGCTACTGAATATAACTTAAGAAGAAACCACCCAACGTTTATTTTGTGAATGTTAATTATTTAACCAAAAAAATGACAATTTATTTTAGGTTAATTGAGTTTTTTAAAGTGTTGTGAATAATAAAGTGAGTGATATCTTCATTAGTTTATTTGAGAGATAGAATGAATATTATCAACTCATGTTTTAATAATATTACGTATTAAATATGCAATTTATAATAAATAACTTTTTTGAAAAATTATAGAATTAATCTATATATGTATATAAATAAATATTAAGTTTTGATGTAACTTTAAAAAAAAATATTACCCTTCATTTTAATATCTATATAGTTCAATCCTCTAATTACTCGTTAGATAAAGATTTTTATGAATTCTATTTTTTACTAGTAATATAGATGACGTTATAAGGGTTAGATTTGCACTTCTTGAAATTTAAATTTTGGTATTCTAAAATTATTTCTAGGGATACAAGATTTTGTCCATTAACCAAAGCTCTGTCAAAGTATGGGTTATAGAATCCATGGCTTAGTTCAAAAGTATCGAAGCTCCAAAATCATATTCACAATCACTAATAGTTTGGGAACACCGATATGTATCGATTCGTCCTCTGTCATACACTTTTTCGAAAGATCTTTTCGTCACTTCGTTAGAGTCCTTGTTGACAATGACCTGTTAGGTGAACTCATAGAAAATATATTAGTAGAAAGAGTGTGATTTTCTTTTTTCGTAGACATAGAATATGAGAAAATCTCAGATTTCTGTAGCTTCAACAAATATTTGGGACATAATAAACAAAATTGTAGAAGGAAACAAAGCACAGAAACAAAACACAAATCCCAAAATATAGATTCCACCAAAACCCTAATCAACAACAAATCTCCATTTAAAGAAAGGAAATAAGTGGAATCAAAGTTGAATGAGAAAGGCAAAAACCCCCTAATCAGAGTTGAATGAGAAAGGCAAAAACCCCTTAATCAGAGGGGAACACAAGTGTTGTGATTAAAAACCAGATAGTTGAAAAACAAAATGCCCTTATTTTAGAACCTGAGATTGATACAGAAGGGTTAGAAGAGGAAGCTAAAGACAAATTTGATGTGGAATCGACATTTGAGGGAATTAAAAAGGCTCAGATTGAAGATATTAGATTTGAAACTTGCTATACGAAGTTGGCTTATCTAGAGGGGGGGGGGAGGTTGAATAGATCCCCAATATATTTTTGTTTAATGAAAACGGTTTTTTAAAAACGATGGCTAGCGGAAGTAACTTGGATCAATTCGTCTAAAGCGAACCGCTATCGAAAAGCTCATATATGTGTATGTGAAAACAAATCGGAAATAATGATAAGAAACTTAAATCAATAGGCTTTAATCACAATCACTAGAAAGCAACTTATTAAGCAACTCTATTTCCAATTATAAATCAAACTAAAACACAATTGCGGCAAATTATCAAACACGTTGAGTGCAATAGATTTGGTTTGGAAATTTATATTGTTTTGTCGATCTTTAAAATCCAATCACAATAAAAATGATTGTGATCAATTCAACAAAACGTTTTCAAACAAATTTCAAAACAATCTACCAAAAAAATTAATCGCACAAATGATGAACACAATAATTTTCTAATAAAATGTAAGAGAGAGAGAGAGAGAGAGAGAGAGAGAGAGAGAGAGAGAGAGAGAGAGAGAGAGAGAGTACACAATCGACCTCACTATGGGCACGTCTTCCCTCAATTGAAATTCAAAATGAGATAATGTAATTAACCTTACTTGCAATTGTATTTTTACAAGAGAAATGTAGCAATGCAACCCAACAAATCCTAACATTGATGTTGATCCTAGTCACTTCTCTTCCCTTGATATGAGCTTGATCAAGTCGCCCAATAATGCCAATTTGATTCACCGTCTCATGCTACTCCTTTGCAAGAACCATATCTCTTCAAAGCCTTCACTCGATCGAATCTGAATTACAACCTGTTGCAACCAAAGCTTTACCACTTAGAAATTTTCTTACTTCTAAGAGAAACCCCAAACTTAATCTTTTTCATACCACTTAAGAACTAAAATTCTACCTAACTCCAAAGAAAGGGTGGAAAGATACGATCTTTCAAGTCATACGACTAAAAATTAAGGCTAAGTCACCAAAAGAAAGGCTAAGCTCAAAGTGGTTAGCAATAGATGTACATATTACTACAAAGTGGTTATTATAAAGGCTCAAAGATAAAAACAAACAACCGCCTCAGTGTGTGTTAATCAAACTAGACAAATTTAATCAGAAATAGTTCAAACTTGATAAAACAATAATGCATGGATACACTAAATAAGAAAGAATAGTAAACAATGGAATTTATTTTTCTCAAACCTTACTAGTTGAGGTATTTGAAGGTTGAGTACAAGTTCTTTGATTCTTTTTTCATCTTTTTCCTTCAAGTTGTTAGTTGCTTTCACGATGATCAAATTTCCTTTTGGTTCATTTGTTCAATACTATAGTTGCAAATTTGTAAATCAGAAAGAAACAACAACTACAAACTTGTTCATTAAAGACAACATTACTGAATAATACATTGGGGTTATAGTTTCTACTACTCTTCTCTAGGTATACATTTGAAAATAAAAATAAAATCTTCCAAGAATTAAAAAAACTGAATGTCTTTTCATATGTTATCATTGTGAAAAAGATTATGCATGCCATTCATTGTGTTGTTAAAGTATTCTGCCTAGTCCATTCTGCTCACATATGGTCTCTCCTTCTTGCTTGCTCTTAATCTTGATTGGTGAAGTAATTCTCTATCTCTCTAATTTTTGTAAACTGTGCTCTTAAGCTCTAATCAGGCATATGGGCTTCCTGCTGACTGTAGAAGTCTCAGAATACAGGGGCGAATCTCGGAGGTTCAGCATACAAAGTAAGTGAAACTTCATTTATCCACGTTGTAACCCCATTGCATGAGCTTCCATTCTTCTTTGAAACACTAAAGCATGTTGAACCTGCATTTTCTCTAGTTGGTGATGCACCTTGCGATTGGTATAATCCTTCTTCATTTCCCGTTTGATTGTCCTATTGATCATTTTGAGCAGCTTCTTCTAGATGCATATGTTACAACCTCCTTACAGCCGAAGCGTTAAGATGTGTTCTTGGACTTATCATCTCATCATCAGGGTAAACGAGCACACCTGCTCTCCTGCACAGTTCATTAATAACACAAAAATGCACACAAGCTCGTTGTGCAGTGTTAGCCATGTATTTTATATTTTTAGAAATTAAACGGCCCAAATCAATAAGTTTCCCCCTCAAAAGAGCTAAAAGTCCTAAACATCTCTTCATAATAAATTATGGTTGTTTAGACGTAACTTCTAAATACTGCACAAAAAATGAGGCCTAAGCCCTAAGAATTTGGCGGTATTCAACAGTTTTGAGTCGCAGCGCTAAGCCATGCTCAACAACTTATTCTCCCATTGGCCTACAAAAAGCTTCAATCATGTCTTAAGCCATTGCCTCGTTTATTACCTTGTGCTCATTTATATAGTTCCTAAGAGCACATGCCAGAAGAGGTTGAAGATTAAAAATAAAATTAATAGCACTAATAAAATAATCAACATGCTTACCTCGCACATAAGAAGTGTAGGTGCACACCTTGCTAAATGCAGCATTTGCATAAAATTATAGGCCTATGCTTTTTATTTGCTTCTCAAATTAAATTGTTCAAACTTACCCAACGCGTTTCTTGAAGCATCTCCACTACCTCTCCAAAACCTTCCAAATCTTCAAATGTGAATGCTCTCTCCCTCACAATATGGTAATCAACCAATTTAAGATACTTTTCAGCATGAGCCTCGGGAAAAAAATTTGAGATTGGGGAAGGCATAAGCATTAGGAGCAGGGGCATCTTTTGAGGATGAACCTCTTGTCAATCTTCCTCTTTTTGATGACATTTATACATACAACAACACAAAGTAACACTGCATAGAGAAAATGAATTACGTAGAAAGTAGGCTCAGATGAGTTTTTGTGAAGTAGAATAAGAAGAAAAAGATT